TGTTGAGAAATAAATTAGTCCCCATAAAATTTAACTCCGATTAACTTAAAAGTTAATCACGGAGTTTACTTATTTTAAAATAGATTAACTCCCCTTTAAATAAATTAACTCTCAAAAAGTCAATGAAACAATTTAACTCCCAAAATATATTTGAAATATTCTAATATTCATTTCCTTTGAAATTATAAATTATGTAGACTTTTCTTTAATTTAATAACCTGTCTTCTTACGTTAAGACCTTCAGTCGCTGTATTCTTATTTAATTTATTTATAGATTTATTTGAATTTTTACTCAATCTTAACTGGAATTTTTGTCACCAAAATTAATAACACAGCAATAATTACTTTTAAAAGAAAAATAGACATAAATCAGAGCTATACCTATGATTTTGATTTTATTTTTTGACTTTGATTTGTTTGTTATTGACTCTAAACATTTGTCATTGAAAGTGTAAAGATATTTTATTCGCCACAGACAAATAACGCAGTGTAGTCCCACTCGCGCCGGCCCTGAGTGTGGTAGTTTTAAAACATAGAGCAACAACATAAATATGTAATTTCGGTCGAAAAGTTAATAAATAACATTAGATAATTTATTTGGTCATATTTATTTCGTTAGATAAGTCATTTCATAGCCCACCGTTATACCCATTTCATCATATTTTAAAATATTTTAAACTTTGATTTGTTTCGAAATAGAGTTAAATAACTTTTAACTGTTAATTTTTTAATTTTTAGGGATTTAATCCGTTTTTCTACACCGACAGAAATTTTAATTTTAGTGGCAACATTAGTTTATTTGAAAGTTTTAAGTTAAAACCTTTAACTTGTTTTGCGCAGAAACTCCTCCTGTTGGATCCAGTCCCTCGTATTCACATATCACAACACCAACGGTTAAATAGAAGGCAATGTACTTCATTTCCATTTCTCTAAATGACATATGATTATTTGTATATCTTTTATGTTTTTTTTTTAAAATTGTTTATTTCTTTAATCAAAATGGTTATATTTGCATAAAGATTACAATAAAAATATACATTTATAATATTTAAGATATTTTTAAACATTTCATTTAAATATACAATATACAATATATTAATTTTTTAAGTTTAGAACATGATTTAAACAAAATACAGCTTATACAATTTTTAACTATCATTTTTAACCATAAAAGTAAAATACTTGAGACTTATAAAACATACTCAACTACCAAAACATTTTAAAAAAACCACGAGACAAAACAAAATTTGCCATTACTAAATTTTTCTATTTACTCAAATTAATAAATTTAAATTTTATTCAATGTATTTAACTAAACAGAGTTTTTCGAACTATTTTAAAAAATTTTATCACTTTGTGAATAAAGGCAACACGTTGTACGTTTAATGCGCAAAAATAAGGTATAATTTTTTTTTTTTAATTCAAGTAAGAAACACAAAAGCCATCTTATAATCAAAACAAACGTACTTCCTGGCAACTGTGCCGGTATATTTGTAATTGTAAACAAAAGTTCCTCAATTTCATTACTAAACTTAAATAAATAAACGTTAATTCGTTTTTTTTGTTAAAATAGTTATTAATCTGTAGTTTGAGGCACGGCTGCCGTAGAGCAATACACGATTTTCGGAAATGAATTGTTGACATGCGCAGTATTTTCTGTTGTCTAGCGCAACTTTTTGGTAAACAAAACAACTTTTGCTAGTCTAGTAGAAAAAGTAAATAAAAAATGCTGACTCATTGTGCTGTAAAAACATTTTGTACTCAAAAAAAAATTTGCAGCCTTATTCTAGTGGCATTTTTCCTAACGACAGAAATACTTATAGTTCTTTTATAGACATAATTTTAAAGTTTTCAAATGCCATTTTGTTTAAAAATAAAGCACCATCAAAGAAAATTTCATAGTATCTTATGGCTTATAAAAAAGAAAAAAAAATTATCAGTAGTCAATACTTAACCAATAAATACTATTTAATTACGTGAAATTGAGATTTTTTAGAAAATTTTTAATTGCATGTTTACTTCGGTAACTATTTGTTTATCTCCTAAAACTTTGCGCATGTCAAATATTGAATGAAATACTGAAAAAATATGTCCCGATGGGCAGAAGACATGATTTAGACATGTCATGCCTTAAAAATATAATAAACAAAATATTAAGTTGAAGTTTAACACAAGTATTTAGAAATAATTTTTTTTAGGACCAAATGAAATTGTCCCAAAGAAATTTTAAAGGTTTTGGGGAGGTTGACGTGTCTGTTTTTTGCTGACTAAAACCAAAAAAAAATCTTTTCTCCTCTAACTTATCAACCTAAAAAAAAAAAAAAGGTTCTCGTTTTCCAATATTTGCGGACTTCCAACTTTAAATCCAATTTTGCCAACTCTAGTATCCAGTTTCTCGACTAATAAAGTTCGTAAGGGGTAGGGGGCTAGATATCCCATTACGCCCCCCCCTCAGGACGGCTCCAATAATAATTAGAGAATAATTTTTATATACCGCAATAGTTTTATATTCACAAAGTTAGAAAGTTACGAATAGGGGCTGTCAATTAATTAAGTCAACAATTTTCTGGCAATTTTTTACTTCCACCCCTCTCCCCCTTATCAACAACTTGTCAAACTTCCAGAGACCCCCTAAAAGATTACTTCAACATTCAATTCACCCCCTCTCCCTTCTCTAAAAAAAAATTTAATGGAAAATAACATAACGATATTTTGAATAGACTAATTTACAACTAAAACAAAAAAGAAATTTAAAGTAAGCTATTTCAATATTTAAAAATATTTAATACTTATTAAATACCAATTTAAAAATAAAAAGTACTTGCTCTGAACAAAATGTGAATAAAAGTAAAAGGTGTAAAAAAAAGTTATTAAACTTTTAACTAAAGAACATATTTTTAGTTTATAACTACGAAAAATTATTCCAAACAAAAAAATAAAGATTAAAGGGTTCACAAAAATATATACATCTTTCATGTTTAAATTATGAACATATTTCAAATTAATACAACACTTTAATGTGCCAATCCTCCTCACTTCAACTTTAGACCTAATTCAATTTCACAGAAAAAGCCAATTATTTCAAATAGAGTTTAGTATAACGAAAAATGCATTTAACAAATTGTTTAAACCAAGGGTTGGCAACCGATTGAAACAGAAGAGCCCAAATTGCAATTTACAAAGTTTTAGTCTGCTGTGCAAGCAAAAAGGATTTATGTTAGTACATGTCCTAAATTATTTTGTTTAAACTGTCTCGAGTGGTTCATTCGATGTCAAGATGAGCCTCATAAGCTCCATGCACAAATAATAATATAATAATGAAATATTAGAAAAGTTGTTGGTAGCACTTTAAAAACAGAATTTTGGAAGAACTACCAATATCTTCATTTCAAACCGACCTCCGATATAAACGTTTAAATAATATAGTGCAGATCAAGCAATTATATAAATTTTTTTTGTTTCCATAGTAAACTAACCAACAACAACTTTGAAAAAATAATAGTGTTACAAGTGAACATCTCGTGTGTGCTTATTTAATTATGTACGTGTCTGGTCTCTTTAAAGCACAACACGGTTTTTAAAAAGTAGGAATATAATAGCTTTATTAAAATAACGAAGGTTTTGTGAGAATGTAACACAGGACTGCGAATGCTGCCTAAATTTCCTTTTTTTAAGTAACTAAATTTATTAAAAAAGTAATATTGTCGACGTCAACTTATTTTTACCTCCCCCCTCCCCTTGTCAATAAATATCAAAAATATTCCGACCCCCTCCCCCTATAACTTTTTATTATTTTTAAATTTTGTTGATTTATGGACAGCCCACAGTTGAAAAAGAATAAAAAGTAACAACTAACAATGACATAAAACAATTATATTATTTAAAAACCAGAGATACATTTATTATTAATAATAATATTAACAATAGTAACAATAGCAATAATAATAATAACAATAGTAACAATAACAGTAATAATAATAGTATAAAATGATAAACACTTGAATAACATAATAAAATAAAACAAATAAATTGTTGACTAACGATTATTAGTTATGCATTAAATTAAATAAAGTAATATAAACTAAAAAAATTTAATTTATATATTTTTTTATTATATTTATTGCTTTTAGTCTTACGCTCTAATTACTTATTTTGAAACCAAGTCTTGCATGTAAAAATTCAAAACTTCAAAAAACAATGAATTTCTGCTTTTTTTGCTTTTTTACATAATTTAAATCGAAATATTTACATAAAATCTTTTTTACATAATTTAAATCGAAATTTTACATAAAATCGAAATTCCAGGACTTTCCAGGACTCTCCAGGACCATTTTCGTACTTTTCCAGGATTTTCACACAAAAATTCCAGGATTTTTCCAGGATATTTTTTCCGAAAAAAAAAAATTCCAGGACTTTCCAGGATTTTAGCTATAAAAAATTCAAAAAATTAATTCCTTAAAAGTTACATGTTTTCCTTTGAAACAAACCATTTAAAAAGATATAAAATAAAAACTTTATGACCACTTAAAACTTAATACTAAATTTTTTATAAATAAATCTATATTTCTAATAAAACACAAAGCCTAAAGCATAAAATAGAGTAGCGCAGTGGTAGCATGCTTGCCTCAGAAACTAGGTATCTGTGGTTTAAACCCACCTCTGGGCATATTTTGTAACATCTGTTAGGAAGGAGGCGTTAACTTCTTATTAAATATTTTTCTGCGGTGATTTATTGTAAGACCATAATGACTTTTCAGGGCCCCAAATAAAAACATATATATTGTGTATATATATGTATATATATTGTATGTATATATACATATTGTGTGTATATATATTGTGCATATATACAGCGCGTTAATAAACCAGACCAGAAAAAGTTTAAAAACTTAATTTTTTTTTTTTTAAATGATAGACTGCCTGCCTAAACTAAACCCTCAGTCGATGTAGCAGCACTCCCTTGGCGAATCAGGCTATTTGTCAGTCGTTGTAGCAACACTCCCTTGCGAGTCAGGTTATTTGTCAGTCGATGTAGCAGCACTTCCTTGCGAGTCAGGCTATTTGTCAGTCGATGTAGCAGCACTCCGTTGCGAGTCAGGCTATAAGATAGTTGATGTAGAAACACTCCCTTGTAGTAGCAGGCTATAAGATAGTCGATGTAGCAACATTTACGCATGTTTTAAAAATGTTTTTTAATAAGACAAAAACAAAAACACCACTAATTAAAAAAAACTTATTCGAGTTTATTTTCAACCCACACACACACACACACACACACACACACACACACACACACACACACACACACACACACACACACACACACACACACACACACACACACACAGATATATATATATATATATATATATATATATATATATATATATATATATATATATATATATATATATATATGTATATATATATATATATGTATATATATATATACAATATATATTTTTTTCTTTTGACACACTTACTTCGTTTGCTATCATTGGCCATTTCAATTGGATTTACAGATATAACAGAGCGTACAATGGAAAACTTTAATGGGGACTTGTCAAAAATATGTGCCAACAAAACTGCTAAAAATTCTCCAGCTTCACTTTTAAATGCAACTACTCTGTAATCGGTAGAACTTAGATTGGCTTGGTCAAGTTTTAAACGAGAAGCAAATCCAATATCGAAATCTGCTGGAGGTTTTCGAATATTCTTATCGTTTAGATCAAGTTGAAGTAGCTGATAAAGTGCATCACATTTCTTTAAGACATCTTTAAGAATAAATCGGCTCAATAAGTCTTCAATAATATCACCAAGAATAGTACTCATAAATGGTACCATGGGTTACCATGGGTTACCATGGGTTTATCTGTTTGAAAACCTCTTAGAAAAGCATTAAACTTCTCAGATACCATTTCAAAAAATTTCAATTTTGCTGGTAAAATTGGATCATATATCATAGCTTTTAGTCTCTGCCAACTTTTATTATTGACATCAGGTAGTTTGCTTTTTTTTAGACTACTAACGTATGTTACAAATTTTTTCTAACCATCAAGAAGAGATTCAGCTTTTCGTGCACAGTTTTCATTTTCGCACTACCTGTGTCCACAAAACTGTAATGGATATTCCAGTGTTTCAGCAATATTTTCATAAGTTTCTCGTCGTGTGGGTAAATCGTGTAAGAATTGCCACATCGATTTCAAAGCATTATTTATTTCTCAGCCACTTGCTTTTGCACCAGCTTTCAAGCTTCCGTGAATGGTGTGAAGACCACATGTTCCTATATCAATAAGGGGATTTAGTTCTTTCTCTGCCTTTGTTCACTGAAATTTTTAAGAAATAACAAGTTTACATTGGGACCATCGAAAGACAATTGTAAAATCTTAGCTTTGTCAATTTCGGATACACCACTGAGGAATGTATTTAAAAAATCCTCAGCAGTGGAGCATCCCATAAACTCTGGATTAAGGTATCGAGTATTAACACTGTCAGATTTTTGATTCCAAAACCTGACTAAAATATCCATTTGTCCCTTTTAAAAAATCTTATTAAGTGAGTCGTCAAATGAAGTAGTGTAATATGGAGCAGCTCAAAGTGTCAATAATAGCTCACTTCAAAAATATGGAGCAATTCCATAGGTAGCCACATACCCGGCCTTTTTTCAACCACATTGAAATGTCTTT